ATTGTAAAGTGGTTATCCCACTGGCTATAAGGTGAATGCACCAACTTGTAAGTCGCTCTGGATAAGAGCGTCTGCTAAATGACGTAAATGTAAATAAATGTTGGCCCTACATGTCCACAAAACCTTCCTTATTTTGATCATGAGGTTGTTTTCACATACACATGATATGAGATCATGCATGACATAGCCTATGACATACTGTACAAAACAATTATTGTTGAATAGGAGTAACTAAGATATTCACAAGTTATAACATGGCTGATTGTGTTATCTTCACGTAATATCAACCAGAGCTCTATGAACACAAATTCAGTTTCATGATTAGCTAGCTAGCTAATCAAAATATATAAGCTGATGTTAATTGTCATGATCCAGTTTGTGTCAGATAGAATGCACATTCTGTTGAATACTAGTGCGGTGAAGTAGCAGTTTCTGGGGCAAAGAAGGCTAGTGTCGACATCTGACACGTGTCAACCATTAACGTTAGCACTAAGCTAGCTAGCTAGTTACAGTTCACAGGAGCCAACATTTATCACATAAATTCAGACTAGAAATTAAGTTGTGTCATAAAATGGGGACACGAAAACAAAATACATTAACCTGCCGATAACCTGCCAATAGGAAACAGACAAGATACGTTTTATTCGGCCTAATGTTAGTCTTGCCTGCCACCCGGTCTTACGTGATGCCACCACCGCATCGGCCGCATCGGTCATGATGTGTTATCCAATAACTAATTTAGCTCATTAACCCACCAAGACTACTGGACCCGGTTTCCCAAAAGCATCTCAAGGCTAAGTACATCATTAGAACATAAAAAAACGGAAATATGACATTTACATAAATATTCAGACCCTTTACTCAGTACTTTGTTGAAGCACCTTTGGCAGCGATTACAGCCTCGAGTCTTCTTGGGTATGACGCTACAAGCTTGGCACACCTGTATTTGGGGAGTTTCTCCCATTCTTCTCTGCAGATCCTCTCAAGCTCTGTCAGGTTGGATGGGGAGCGTCGCTGTACAGCTATTTTCAGGTCTCTCCAGAGATGTTAGATCGGATTCAAGTCCGGGCTCTGGCTGGGCCACTCAAGGACATTCAGAGACTTGTCCCGAAGCCACTCCTGCGTTGTCTTGGATGTGTGCTTAGGGTCGTTGTCCTGTTGGAAGGTGAACCTTCGCCCCAGTCTGACGTCCTGAGGTCTCTGGAGAAGGTTTTCAAAACGGATCTCTCTGTACTTTGCTCTATTCATCTTTCCCTCGATCCTGACTAGTCTCTCGGTCCTGCCGCTGAAAAACATCCCCACAGCATGATGCTGCCACCACCATGCTTCACCGTAGGGATGGTGCCAGGTTTCCTCCAGACGTGACACTTGGCATTCAGGCCGAAGAGTTCAATCTTGGTTTCATCAGACCAGAGAATCTTGTTTTTCGTGGTCTGAGAGTCCTTTAGGTGCCTTTTGGGAAATTCCAAACAGGCTATCATGTGCCTTTTACTGAGGAGTGGCTTCTGTCTGGCCACTCTACCATAAAGGCCTGATTGGTGGAGTGCTGCATAGATGGTTGTCCTTCTGGAAGGTTCTCCCATCTCCACAGAGGAACTATGGAGCTCTGTCAAAGTGACCATCGGGTTCTTGGTCACCTCCCTGACCAAGGCCCTTCTCCCCGGATTGCTCAGTTTGGCCGGGCAGCCAGCTCTAGGAAGAGTCTTGGTGGTTCTAAACTTCTTCCATTTAAGAATGATGGAGGCCACAGTGTTCTTGGGGACCTTCAATGCTGCAGAAATGTTTTGGTACCCTTCCCCAGATCTGTGCCTCGACACAATCCTGTCTTGGAGTTCTACGGACAATTCCTTTGACCTCATGGCTTGGATTTTGCTCTGACATGCATTGTCAACTGTGGGACCTTATATAGACAGGTGTGTGCCTTTCCAAATCATGTCCAATCAATTGAATTGACCACAGATGGAATCCAATCAAGTTGTAGAAACATCTCAAGGATGATCAATGGAAACAGGACGCACCTGAGCTCAATTTCGAGTCTCATAGCAAAGGGTCTGAATACTTATGTAAATAAGGTATTTCAGTCTAAACACCTGTTTTTGCTTTGTCATTGTTGGGTATTGTGTGTAGATTGATGAGGAGATTGTTTTTTTATATCCATTTTATAATAAGGCTGTAACATAACAAAATGTGGAAAGGTCTGAATACTTTCTGAATGCCCTGTAAATAACATTGGTAATGCTGTAAAAAATATATTAATTTGTATGCTGATGATACAGTGTTGTATTCAATTGCTCCATCAGTTGGCAAAGCCTTTTCACATTTGAAGTCTGATTTTCAAACACTGCAGAGGTCACAATTGGATCTAAAGTTAGTGCTAAATGCAAACAAAACAAAATGCATGCTTTTTTGTAGGTCCCATAACCCAGATTTTAATGAATTTGTAATGACTAGTTTGAACGGTACACAAATTGACCGAGTTCCATCCTACAAATATCTTGGTATCTGGCTTGATGACAAACTGTCATTTAAAAAACATGTCACTGAGCTGGTGAAGAAGTTGAAGTTTAAGGTTGCTTTCTTTTACAGAAACAAAGCATGTCTGACTTTTGTTAATAAGAAGGAAATTGTCCAGGTCACTTTTATGTCTATTTTAGATTATGGTGATATTATCTATATGCATGCAGCAGCATCTACACTTAAACCACTAGATGCTGTTTTCCATTTTGCCCTTAGGTTTATTACTGCTGATGGTTATAGAACTCACTTAGTGTTTTTTTATCAAAAAGTGGGTTGGACCTCTTTGTATGTAAGGAGAGAGCAGCATTTTATTGTGTCTATCTACAAAGCATTCATGCAGAAACTTCCTATGTATCTATCATCATTAATTAAATTTAGACTTACAAATTACCACACCTGTGTATCATTTAGCTATTTGATATTGCATTTTTGGACCCCTTTAGATATCAAAAAAATATAGAAGAAAATTATTTGATAAAATATTGAATTTGGCCTTTACTACTATAGCCAAGCAGTTTCCATACCAAGACACTCTCAATCCTGCAGCTGTAGAACCTTTTGAGGATCTGAGGGCCCATGCCAAATCTTTTCAGCCTCCTGAGGGGGAAGAGGCATTGTCGTGCCCTTTTCACGACTGTGTTGGTTTGTTTGGACCATGATAGGTCTTTATTGATGTGGACACTGAGGAACTTGAAGCTCTTGACTCGCTCCACTACAGTCTCGTCGATGTGAATAGGGGCATGCTCGGCCCTCCGTTTCCTGTTTTCCACAATCAGCTCCTTTCAGTTTTCCTGCATTCAAATCACTGGCCACTAGGAGTGCCACCTCTAAGTGAACATTTTCTTGTTTGCCCTTTACAGCTGATTGCCACGACTCATGGAAGTAGAAGTCCTCATCCAAATTGAGGTTAGTGATCGCTGTTCTGATGTCCAGAAGCTTTTTTTGGTCAAATGAAACAATGGCGGAAACATCATGAAAAAAAAAAAAAAACACACAAAATAGCATCACTTTCTCTCTAGTCTCTTTCTCGTCCGTCTCTTCTCCCTTTATCTTTCTTTCCTCCTCCATCCCGTCCCAGCTGCATGAGCACATACGCTCCTGTCATTCACGTCTGTCATGTGGCTTTAAAATGAGGCAACTGTACGCATACATAAGGACCAAGGAGTCTGCATGAATTTGAGTCTGTGTCTGATAGAGTAATGGTGGAGAGAGAGAGAGAGAGAGAGAGAGAGAGAGAGAGAGAGAGAGAGAGAGAGAGAGAGAGGGACAAAGAGAGAAAGAGAGAGAGAGTGAAAGGGACAGAGAGAGAGAGAGAGGGACAGAGAGACATTTTTTTTTGTGATCCAATTGACATTTTAGTCATTTAGCAGACGCTCTTATAATTAGTGAGTGCATACATTTTTCATACTGGCCCCCCGTGGGAAGAGGGACAGAGAGAAAGAAAGAAAGAAAGAAAGAAAAAGAAAGAAAGATGGAGAGGGAGAGAAATGAGCTGTCAGGATGAGTGTATGCATGCATATAAGGGGGAGCTGGGGGGGGGTCTGTCAAACTATCTTTGTGAGGGTCAGAGGGGCAGGCCCATGTCTAATCCTCTGGGATGGGATGTAGAAGATGGAATTTTGAGACTGGAGATGTGTTCACTGATGCATATACAGTATATGACTGAGCTGAAAGAAGCCATGGAGCTGTGTGTGTGTGTGTGTGTGTGTGTGTGTGTGTGTGTGTGTGTGTGTGTGTGTGTGTGTGTGTGTGTGTGTGTGTGTGTGTGTGTGTGTGTGTTCACTGGTGCATATATCACACAGGTTTCCACACTGAAAAAGACATGTCTCTGGGATCCCTGTGAAATATTTAGAAAGAAAGAGTGAGTAAAAAAAGCATTGGTTGATAGCTGTGACTGGCACCAACGGTTTTAAATAATGAATAGACTAAATGAGTATAACATAAATAGATTTATGAAAAAAATATGATCATCATTTGTAGTCTTCAACATAGTCATTTTTGTCATAAAACAGTCGTTATAAAATATACACTCATCAAATAATTTGCCATATTACAAGTACATGCTTTTCTCCATTTGACAAAAGGACATAAAATATCTACAAACCTGTCGTTGCTCTTTGTTTTGAAGGTTAGATTGTTATTACATCAATATAAGATTCTTCAGGTTTACAGTAATCAACAGATGGCGCTGTTGTTCAAAAAGCATTACTCTCAACACGAGGGTCCTTTTACCCGAAAATACTTATGGACCTTTAACAAAGCCGGAAGTTGGAGAAATTACAGTTTGAAATCATGGCGCTTGATGTAAAGTCCAGAGCAAAAATATATGAAAAACTCGATTTTCTACGAGAGGGTCAGGTAATCAGAAACAGTATTATATTGCCGTTGTTGTGTTTTTCGTGTGAGCCGCTTTGTTAAGGTTAGCGCTGTATAGATTAAGATAACAGTTTGATTGCTAGCTAGCTAACTACTATAGCAGCACAATGAATGAGCTAGCCGTGGCATGAGTTGTTGTTAAAGCTAAGTTGCCGGTTGCAGCAAAGGCAACACCTTCAAAATGACAATTATCTAGCTACGCTAAGGTTAGCTCGGTTTGTTGACAAGTTAGCTGGCTACATTCATCAGCTTGTCACTTTTAAAGTTGGTGCTAGTGTTTCTCTCTGTTTTACTTTACAGTTTGCCACTGTGTACAAGGCCAGGGACAAGACCAACGACACGATAGTTGCCATCAAGCAGGTAAGAGACTCAGCATGTCTCTAAGATCTGTGATGAATGGTACAAAGTAAATTGCCAGGAGCAGCTGTTTTTTTGCTGTAAGGTTTTTGTGTAGGCCTAACACATGCCCAGAAGGGGTATAACCTTGGATGTATAACCACAGATAAAACAATGAGCCAGATGTTTCACCGGATGTATGTATCTGAAGCATCCGGTTGACATTTCCACTCACCATGGTGATGAGAGGCTGGCAGTGGGAGAGGATGGATTTTGGCCGACATTCTGCTAATTTTCTCATTGATGAAACATTTGATCACTACAGTTTTCTGCTCCCAAAACTAGAATCTGTTACGAACAGAGTGGACTAAGTTTTTAAGACTACACTTTGCCAAAGTCCCTGTATACGCACAACTGCGTGGCCCAAATTTCTTTTCCAACTCCAACCTCAAGTTCCCTGATGACGTGATGGTGGTGCCAGGTAAACAACCTCTTCCTCAACGTCAGCAAAACAAAGAAACTGATATTGGACTTCAGGAGGAACAAAGCTGTGCACGCCCCCAAATCAAATCAAATTGTATTGGTCACATACACATATTTAGCAGATGTTATTGCGGGTGTAGCGAAATGCTTGTGTTCCTAGCTCCAACAGTGCAGCAGTGCAGTAGTATCCTCATCAACAGGGCCGCGTGGAGACGGTCAAAAACATCAAGTTCCTCAGCGTACACATCTCAGAGGAGCTGAAATGGTCAAATCACACAGACATCGTGGTGAAGAAGGCACAAGAGCGGCCCTGAAGGCCATCACAGTGTTCTACAGGAGCACCATCGAGAGCATACTGTCGGGCTGCATCAGAGCCTGGTATGGCAACTCCACCGCCGCTGACCGCAAGGCTCCACAGAGGGTGGTACGCTCAGCCAGGTGTTGCAGGAAGGCCAAGAAGATCATCAAGGACCTCAGCCAACCGAGCCATGGCCTGTTCTCCCCGCTTCCATCACTCAGACGCGGGTAGTATAAGAGCATCATGGAAAAAACTGTCAGACTGTCAGAGTGTTTACATTTGTAAATATGTATATATTATTATTATTATTGTTTCATACACTTTTCTTTTGGACCTGCACTGTTGGAGCTCAGAGTTTAAGAATTTCACTGTACCCTGCAATTACATCTGCGACCCTGTGCATGTGACTAATAAGCTCATCTATCTATCTAAAAATTGTGTTGTTTAAAAGGAGTGCATGGGTGAACGCACTTCACGTAGTAGGCGTTCCCTAACGAAAATATGCAAATACATGCTAGAATGCGCCAATTGGATCTAGCTAGGTTGTGCTTGGCTCTGCCCACCTCCTTGCTTGTTCTGCTCACTATGATTCATTTGCTCCCATTGGAAATGACAGTCTGTGGTCTATCTTGGGTTAGTTATAACAATCTTTGGTATAACCTTGTGGGGAGAACAGAACACTAAGACACTCTGAACAAAATATGCAAATGAGCTATGACCATGGTTACATAATGCCATTAATGAAACTTGTTGATTTAATATCCACACTATGTCGGTTTGATGTGTTCATAATGTTAGCTGTACACTATTAATAGTGTGTGCTGATTCTCCTGACAGATCAAAGTTGGACACAGAGCAGAGGCTAAAGATGGTGAGTGTCTGTGCATCCCAGTACAGTTCAGAGTGGTTAAAACTATGTATCGGGGTGATTTCCCAGACACAGATTAAGCCTAGTCCTGGACTAAAAAGCATGCTCAGTGGAAAAACTCCATTGAAAAGGCTTCATCTTTTTTCTGGGAAATCACCCAATGAAATTTGGTTCTGAATATTTGTCTCATGTTTGTTGGTCATGTATCTCTCAGGCATCAACAGGAAAGCCCTACGAGAGATTAAACTACTGCAGGAGTTAAGTCACCCAAACATTATCGGGGTAAGAATCTAACTAAACTCCTACTGTTTAAATGGAAACTGCCAGTAGTAATATTCATGCTTTCCTGGTTGAGCGTTGCATCAATTTCAGAATTCATGATAATTTAGAGCTCATTTGGATATTATTCCAAACCAAAGCACCCTGTATAAACGATACTAATTATCTTGCTCACCATCACCTTTACTGTGAAATTATGTAATGTTCTCAAAGAAAGCACAATATCATATATGTCCCTACACTTACATCAATATATGTCCATCATGTTTCTCAGTTCCTTGATATATTTGGGCACAAATCCAACATCAGCTTGGTGTTTGACTTCATGGAGACAGACCTGCAGGTAAGACTGAGCTTTATGTTTTGGTCATATTGGGCCGGTTTCCTGGACCCAGATTAAGCTTGCTCAATGGATAAACTCCACCGAAATGGCTTTTTACTCCAAGACTAGGATTAATCTCTGTCCAGGAAACTGGCCCCAGTAAATGCTGACATTCACGGCTTTATTCTAAAAGTAACCTTGGACACTAGAGGCCACTAGAGGGATACTCCATCCAATTCACAGTATGAAGGTTCTGTTCATTCTGATAGCTCGCTGTGATGTCCTCCTTGAGGCACAGATATGGGTTCAGTCATACTGAACATCAAAGACTGGCTGATGCCCAGAGAGAACCAGAGAGTGGGAGCAACCTGAGAGCTATGGTATTAGTTTGCTTATATCTCTCTCTCTTAGGGGTTCTGTAGGGCCAGCTCTGGTCCTGGGGGACCCCCCTCTCTGTCTGTCTCTCTGCATCTCTGCCTCCCTCTCTCTGTCCCTCTGTCTCACTCTCTGTCCCTCTCTCTCTCTCTCTCTGCCATCCCTATTTCTCTCTCTCCTTATCTCTATCTCTCCCATTTGCTCTGGATATATGAGAGTCTGTGCCTGCCAGATGACTCCAGATGAGTGCCCATGTTCACTGCCAACTCAGTTAGAGAGTAGGAACACAGACCCCTTAGAGCCATAATTAAGGATTGATAGCTGGTCTTAAATAATCAATACCACCCTCCCCGTAGCTCTCAAGATGATGTAATGACAATGATCAAATCATAGACAGACAGAAATAGCTCACAGAGGACTGAAATATTCGGAGGATTTGATAGCCTGAGTCTACATATAGAGAAATTCTCTTCTGCTTGTCCTTTCCTGAGAGGCGTTTTGTTGTCTGTGGACCTTCAACCTTGGAGTTAAGAAAGGTAGACTATTGAGAGACTGGCTGACACCTCTGGTCTAACTCTCTCTCTCTCCTGTGTTCTAGGTGATCATTAAAGATACCAGTCTGGTTGTGACTCCAGACAACATCAAAGCCTTCATAGTGATGACTACAGCACCTGGAGTACATGCACCACCACTAGGTCCTGCACAGGGTAGGTTCATGCACACACCTCAAAGCACCGTCATACAATACACACCTTCTCATAGGTGCCTGTGTGAGGTGAAGTTAGGCGTGGTAGACTCGTCTCCACTTCAGAAATGATATTTGTAATTGTATTTTATATAAATTATGTTTATTATAAATCAATTATATTTGCGCCATAGTAAAATACTGTGTGTAGGATCTGAAGCCCAATAACCTGCTGCTGGATGAGGAGGGGGTGCTGAAGCTGATTTTGGTTTGGCAAAAGCTTTCTGCAGCCCTAACAGAGTCTAGACCATGTCAAAGTCTTTATTGTCAGTTTATTTTATATTTTTTAAAATAGCATTTCATGTGTCACTGTGTTTGCGATACAATGTTTGCTCTCTCAGGTGGTGGTGTTTGGTGCCAGGATGTATGGGGTGGGCATCGACATGTGGGCCGTGGGCTGCATCCTTGCAGAGCTCCTCCTACGGGTACACACACACCATAAGCTCAGTCCAATTTAAACATTGAGACGAGACAAACGGGGTTGTCTGTAGAATGGCACTAAAACATTCTGAAACTAGGCAGCTCAATTGAACTTTGTTCTGAAATTGTCTTGTCTCTGCGACTTTTTTTTATCTAGACTGAGCATTAAGATTCAGACTACTGTATTGTCAGACACACACCTTTCTGTATACATAATGATGCATCCCAAATGGCACGCTATTCCCTATATAGTGTACTACTTTTGACCAGGGCCCATAGGACTCTGGTCAAAAGTTGTACAATATATAGGGAATATGGTGCCATTTGGGACTCTACCCATGCTCACTACATGTTTGCTGTAACACCCTCTGTCTCTCTCTAGTTACCATTCCTAACAGGAGACTCAGGTCTGGACCAGCTGAGTAAGATCTTTGAAGCTCCTACAGATGACACCTGGCCTGTGAGTGTATGTATTTTCTGTGTCTGCATGTGTGGTTCATTTAAGACCAAGCATTGCCTTTAAAATATCGGGGTCCTCAATAATACATTGTGGATTTAAATAATGCCTTCATGTCTCTATCTAACTGTGCTTCTCTCTCTCTCTGTAGTTTGAATTGTTTTCTGGTACTCCTCTGGAACACGTCTTCAGTGCTGCAGGAAACAACCTCTTAGAACGACTTCAGGGTCTATTCACCTTCAACCCCTCCACACGCCTTACAGCTACACAGGCATACTAGTAAGCTATGGCACTTAGTATCTTTCACAAGTTACTTAGTTTCTCGCTGGGTTGTATAACCTGTTTTTAGCGACTGTAATGTGATACACAGTTCAGCACACACACAGGGGGTCCCTGGGTCCTGTGTGGGAGGGTGACCTGGCATACATATATATTATTCCAGCTGCTGTGTGGCTTTGTCAGCCTGTCCCTCCTGCTGTTCAGTTCAGTTCTGTTTCAGAACTACCTCAGGCTATAGGAACCCCTGATGCCCCTGTCGACCTCCCTTCTCTTTGGCTGCTCTCTGGAAGCGTCCTAAATGGCACCCTATTCCCTATTTAGTGTACTACGTTTGACCAGAGCTTAAAGCAGTGCACTAAATAGGGAGGCATTTGGGATGAAGTTGGTCTCTGTTTATTCAGTGCTGTTTCTCCCAGCTCTACCCCCCCCCCCCCCCCCCCCCCCTCCTCCCATCCCCTCTTTCCAGCCTCTGAGGATGAGGTACTTCACTAACAGACCAGGGCTGACCCCAGCAGCCCCAGCTCAACTCCTCAGCAGAGGCTCTCAAAGAGAAGGAGAACCTCACCATCGGAATCAAGAGGAAACGAGATGGTCTGGGGACAAGTAATGAACAACACAGACACACATGTACGCCTCACCATTGGAATCAATAGCACATACATCATTATTCCATCATATACCAGAGCTAGAAGGTTGAATACCTCATTGACATGGTTATGTTTGACGATGATATTAATAACAACATGGTAAATATTATTCTGCTTGCTTATTTAAACTGATGGTTTGGCTTGTACAAAGGAGTCAATGACTGGTTTCCAGTTTTGGATGGGGCCAGCAAGGGGCCCTCCCATACCTAGAATGCATACATATTTTTGTACTGTGACCATATTATCAGAAGTACCCTTATCAATTAAACACAAATATTCTCACACACTTTCAGAGTAACATTGTCTACTCACATAGAACTGGAATCCCATTAGATTCAGAGCCCAATAATTACAAGGATGTAGGCGATACAAATTAGTGCTATAGCAACCCAGGACTAACACACACACACAGTTGAAGGGATGGTGGCGGTACGTTTTACTGCAACAAAAACCCAGTGTTACTGGGAGGATCAATTAGTGGTTTGGGAACTGTTTGGGTTGACTGGCTGTAAATTATAATACTATGAGCTATAGTTGAAAAGAGGCTCTGGGTGCTGAAATGTGAATTTAGTTGTTAACAGATGGTGAGTGTATACGTTCATTACAGCAATGGTTGTTTTTCCTTTTCAGGCACCATAAAGAAGAAACTGATACTCTGAGAGGGCGATAGAGGGGATTTGCTTCAATGAAGCAACATGACCAGTCTTGCTGTTAAACTTCCAGTGTGGTCCAGTTACGGTTCATTGGACTAGGTAGCTAGAAGTTGCCCCTAACCAGTGGTCCATGGTCAGGTTTTTAAAAATCCTCCTAATGGTTAAAGTTAGGATTTAGTGTTGAATAATGTTATTCTAGACCTGTGGTTAGTGGCAACTTCTAACTCCAGTGTGGCTCATGTGGTCTAGTGGTCCAGTGTCAAAGACCTCCAGTGTGGTCTAACAGTGGTTCTGGATATTACTCATTGCAACAATTCTTTCTGAGCTCTGTAAGAGCCTGCTAGAGCAGAACTATTTATGTCAGAAGAAAAATTATAAATTTATTTTTGTCATGATTCATTTCATAGATTTAGATGTACTGTATTTTTGTATGTTATTTATTTTTGGTGTAGGTGATGTAGGATAATAAATGATTATGTCTGAGATGATGCTGTTGTTCATTTGGTTAACTCTTCTGAATTAATGCGACACCTCAACTCTTAGCTAACTCACCTTATAAAGAAAGCATAAAGTATCTAATAAACTATTGTTAAAGAAAATCATGAATGCAATTAATTAAGTGGAGAAATGTTGGTTTATTTTTCCTTTATTTAACTAGGCAAGTCAGTTAAGAACAAATTCTTATTTACAATGACGGCCTACACCGGCAAACCCGGACGACGCTGGGCCAATTGTGCACCGCCCTATGGGACTCCCAATCACGGCCGGTTGTGATACAGCCTGGAATCGATACAGGGTCTGTAGTGACGCCTCAAGCACTGAGATGCAGTGCCTTAGACTGGGAGCCTGAGTGGCATTCACCCCACACTGCTCTGAATAAATACATCTACCTCCCACCCACTACATAAACAGAGCAGAGATTAAACCTGTCTCGCATAAATGTCTGAAGAATAAATAATGTCTCACTGTGTGTGTGCCAGTCTGTTTGCACAGAAATGTTAGACGGGCAAGTTCGTTTTGCATGCCCTGCTGCTCTGGGTGAGTGGAGATTTTACTTTAGGACCAATGGAATGGTCTCAAATGTCCAAACTCCGCCCACCCGGGGCACCGGGCCATGCGAAACTAACTCACCTAGTGTGTGTGGGAAAGAGACATGCTGCCTCCAGGACAGACAGGGTGGCACTCCGCTCTGAAACCAGTGTTCCACCAGCAGCGCTGTATGTCAGCTGTCTAAAGTGGCCTGCTCCTGTTCTCTCCTCTGTCCACATTGATCTGACACAACCTGACAAGTGAGAGCAGATCTCATGACAGATTTAGTTAGACTCTCTCGCCAGACTCAGGAACTACCTTTTAGCTGTCACCTGTCAGAGCAGGTCAAAAGCTGGCATCCGCTACACCTGTACTGTAGTGAGACCCTTGGTTTCACCCATCCAATGTTGTTGGATCAGTAATTGTTGTTGTCTCAATGAAAAGGAAGGAAGGATACATTTTTGAAGTATTGGAGCTGGACTCGGTCCGGACAGACAGAACCATTTGGGTCATGGCCAAGGCTCAGGGTTGAGTATTTTTTAGTTATTTAACCTTTATTTAACTAGGCAAGTCAGTTAAGTACAAATTCTTATTTACAATGACGGCCTACCAAAAGGCAAAAGGCCTCCTGCGGGGACGGGGGCTGGGTTAAAAAAAATTAATATATAAAATATAGGACCAAACTCATCACAACAAAAGAGACAACACTACATAAAGAGAGACCTAAGACAACAACATAGCATGGCAATAACACACGACAACACCGCAAGGTAGCAACCCAACATGAAAACAACATGGTAGCAACACATTATAGTAGCAGCACAAGACATGGTAGAAACATTATTGGTCACAGACAACAGCACAAAGGGCAAGAAGGTAGAGACAACAATACATCACGCGAGGCAGCCACAACTGTCAGTAAGAGTGTCTTTGAATGAAGAGATGGAGATAAAACTGTCCAGTTCGAGTGTTTTTTGCAGCTTGTTCCAGTCACTAGCTGCAGCGAACTGGAAAGAGGAGCGACCCAGGGATGTGTGTGCTTTGGTGACCTTTAACAGAATGTGACTGGCAGAACAGGTGTTGTATGTGGAGGATGAGGGCTGCAGTAGGTATCTCAGATTGGGGGGAGTGAGGCCTAAAAGGGTTTTGTAAATAAGCATCAACCAGTGGGTCTTGCGACAGGTATACAGAGATGACCAGTTGACAGAGGAGTATAGAGTGCAGTGATGTGTCCTATAAGGAGCATTGGTGGCAAATCTGATGGCCGAATGGTATAGAACATCTAGCCGCTCGAGAGCACCCTTACCTGCCGATCAATAAATTACGTCTCCATAATCTAGCATGGGTAGGATGGTCATCTGAATCAGGGTTAGTTTGGCAGCTGGGGTGAAAGAGGAGCGATTACGATAGTCTAGATTTAACCTTAGCCTGCAGCTTTGATATGTGCTGAGAGAAGGACAGTGCACTGTAGCCATACTCCCAAGTACTTGTATGAGGTGACTACCTCAAGCTCTAAACCCTCTGAGGTAATAATCACACCGGTGGGGAGAGGGGCTTTCTTCTTACCAAACCACATGACCTTTGTTTTGGAGGTGTTCAGAACAAGGTTAAGGGCAGAGAAAGCTTGTTGGACACTAAGAAAGCTTTGTTGTAGAGTGTTTAACACAAAATCCAGGGAGGGGCAGCTGGGTATAAGACTGTATCATCTGCATATAAATGGATGAGAGCGCTGCCTGAGCTATATTGTTGATGTAAATTGAGAAGAGCATGGGGCCTAGGATCGAGCCTTGGGGTACTCCCTTGGTGACAGGCAGTGGCTGAGATAGCAGATGTTCTGACTTTATACATTGCACTCTTTGAGAAAGGTAGTTTGCAAACCAGGCCAAAGACCCCTCAGAGACACCAATACTCCTTAGCCGGCCGACAACGATGGAATGGTCTACCGTATCAAAAGCTTTGGCCAAGTCAATAAAAATAGCAGCACAACATTGCTTAGAATCAAGGGCAATGGTGACTTCATTTAGGACCTTTAAGGTTGCAGTGACATCCACAACCTGAGCGGAAACCAGATTGCATACCAGAGAGAATACTATAGACATCAAGAAAGCCAGTCAGCTGGCTTTCCAACACTTTTGATAAACAGGGAAAAATTGGCCTATAACAGTTAGTTTCAGCTTGATCTCCCCCTTTAAATAAAGGACGCACCGTGGCTGCCTTCCAAGCAATGGGAACCTCCCCAGAGAGGAGAGACAGGTTAAAAAGGTCAGAGATAGGCTTGGCGATGATAGGGGCAGCAACCATAAAGAATAAAGGGTCTAAACCATCTGACCCAGATGTGTTTTTGGGGTCAAGTTTAAGGAGCTCCTTTAGCACCTCAGACTCAGTGACCGCCTGCAGGGAGAAACTTTGTAGCGGGGCAGGGGAAAAAGAGGGAGGAGCATCGGAGCTAGTCGCATTAGAAGGGGTGGGAGATGAGGAAATGTTGGACGGCAAGGAGGCATGGCTGAGTCAAATAGGAATCCTGACTAAATGAAGTGGTGATTAAAGAGCTCAGCCATGTGCTCTTTGTCAGCAACAACCACATCATCAACATTAAGGGACATGGGCAGCTGTGAGGAGGAGGGTTTATTCTCCAGGTCTTTAACTGTTTTCCAGAACTTCTTGGGGTTAGA